CTTTAGGGAGGGGTTCCCCCCCCCTTTTCATTTTTAGCAGGGGGGACCGCAACCACCAAAAATTCCCAAGCAAGAAGGGTGGGGGGGGAAATTCTGGGAGTTGACGTCCATCCGTCTTAAAGTTGACAAGGTTGAGGAACCCTGTCCTAACAGTGTTGCTTTAATACATACAGCCATTCACACACCTCCTCCCAAAACATGTATTTCTATCCAAACAATTCCCATTCACCATGCATACCTAGAAGAGGAGTGTCAAGGCAATCCTGAGCAAGAATCTCTGTATGGTGGGCAGGAAAGGATACTGCCAGAAACCACTGAAGAACATTTCAGTTAAAGAACAATCAATTGAAATAATGTCACAGATGGTAGTTAAAAGAAATAGTGGATATATATAAAATATCTTCGTTGGAGAAGCTACAAATGAATTTTAATACTGAAAAAAAAGTACTTTGGATTTTGGTTTAGGACATGAGAAAAAAAAATTGCTAACTGGCTAAACGGTTTTGGAATCCCATAAATGGATAGAGTCAATTTTATTGGTAAATCATGTTTTTTAATATATATGAAAACAATAGTGGTACAGCATAGTATTTGTCAATAGATTGTTTTGGAAGATCTCAACTACTGCATGAATTTTGACTAATAGTTAATCAAGATTTCTCTTTAATATTTTGTTTTGGTTTCTCAAATATTTTTCTTTTTAATTTAACACCAGCCGTGTCTGGTTTCTGTCTATTAAAATAACTGTTTAGAATAGATCTGATTCATTATGTTTAATGAAAATGGAGCTTCCTTAACTTTTATGACATGTTTAAAAAACTCAAGTTTTATGAAATTTTCTTCACTTTGTTTAACCAAAACTGAAATATATAGAAATTATCTTTAAATTAACTGAACTTTAAAAATCTGTTATTCAAGTTGTGCTATTTGAAGAGGACAAGAATTTGTTAAATCTTCAAAGACAAGGAAAAATTCCAAAAGTAGCAAAACTGAAGCTAATATGGATTTTGTCCTACATGTTTGCACCCGATTTTTTGTGTTTGTTTTTCCCCTCTCTCTCTTTTATCATGTATATGTGTTTGGCCAATATTGAATTAATTATAATATGGTATTGAAGTAAAGCAGTAGAAAGGAAGACCTGCAATCAGCACTTTTTAGAAGTTTTACTTACATTGACTAGCTCATGCTTGCTCATTATAATTAGTATGTTTTGGTGCAAGAAATTTTAATGTTTCCTTGCTTTTCTTAAGCCACTTTTAGTCTACACAAGTTTTCATCCAAAAGCCAATGCTTTCATGAATTATCTGATCACATATTGTTAAAAGGCATAAGCCTTCTTGCTAATCACACAAAGTCAGCTATAGCTCATGAAAGCGTTAATAACATTTGTTAATTGGAAGTTACCAGACCCCTTCTGGTTTTTTGTTACCATAGACTAACATGGCTCTCCTCCTACCTTGTCTGATCTTACATAAGCTGTTTTTCTGTAAATTCTGTGTGTGGAGCAACTTTCAGTTATCAGTTCAAGTGTCAATCACATGAGGAAAAGATGGCATGGAGGAAAGTATATAACTGAGGTATTTGCACAGATCCATAAATGCAAATTCACAGAATTGAAAACCTAAACAAGTTCCATCAGAATTTAGGAAAAACTAATTCTTAATGACAATAATTATTCATCTAATAAATGTCAACCACAGATTTCTTAGCCAGTATGTTAGTTGGCTATCCTTAACTTGTTTAGCCTCTATGAGCCTAATGCAATGTACTAGGAACGGATCAGGACCATATTCTTGAATCTATTGGATCAGATCTATGGTAATTTATTTAGGAAATTTCTAGTGTTTTATCTGTCCCAATAAAACTCTCAGGACAGTGTGCATGTTATTTCAACAGAGTGGTGCTTTTGAAAATGCAGAGACAAAACAAATGTATATTACTTCTGAATGAGAACAGTGTTTTTCATGGATTCATAGGCCTGATTCCAATTTTTAGAGGAATACCCTGCTGATGTTCCACAAGTTAATTATGCATTGCATGTAATAGCACTTGTTTAAAACTTAATTTGACAGCATTGCATAAATAAAGGCAAACCAATAACATTTCATTTGTCTCAGTCTGCCTTTTTAAAACCATGAACAAACGGAGGGGAACTCTGAAATGCATTTTACGATCTCGATACATTAAGAAACTTGTTTTTTGTATAACTTTTAAAAAGTTGGATTCAATGACATTTTTATTATTTTAATACAAGTGTATAGATTAGAAGATCTGAAACAATGTAAAGCAATATACATAATAAATAACATGCATAGGAGTCATGTTATATATATTATATAATGCTGGCTAGTATTCAAAATAAATCCAGTGACATTGGAGAAATCCATAAAAATGCTATCCTGTCTTCCCTTTTATGAAATTGTTCAAGTATAAAAAGATTCCAATACAGTCCAAAATATTAAATTTCTTTTTAGGTCAAGAATAAAAATTACAAGTTATTGCAGTTTCACAGGACAAATATAAAGCAGCATTTCCTAGCAAAGGAATAATAGTTGATCTATATAGAGATGAACGTGAAAAATGACCCTTTTTTTGTAGGTGAAAATACCAACAACCCACTCTAAATACATTATGGGTATTGCTTTATGAGAGGTTGTTTCCACATACTGTGTTTAAGATTGGGGCTTCAGACTTTATCCTTAATATATCTCGTTGTGAATAAGTCCCATTAAGATCAGTGGGACTCAGACCCAATTCTGCATTACTGCTATGGCACTGGAGCTATTTATCTGCAATTCAGTTACATGTACAACCAAGAATGTCTGTATATAGGAAACTCATGGATTGGAAAAATCACATGCTTATTTCCCATACTGTTCAATCAATTCAGAGTCTCTCCATTTGCAGACATTATTATGGATGTGTATGACCAATGATATAAATATAGCTCCCATTATAGACAACAGTAATTTATTAATTGAGTCTTACTCCTGAACCAACATGTGGAGTATTTTAACATACTTCAGAGTATGTAAGCTTCACTGAAAACCAGTAGAGCTTTCATCCAAGAAAACAGGTGTGTGGTCAGTGAAACAGAGGGAAAATCATAAAACTAGCATTTTAAAGATCAAAACCTTTCCAAAAGCTTTTAAAAGTACCCTTACAAAAGTATGTTTATTGAAGATAATAAACCTATGTCAGCATCTTTAATTGCTTAATTATTTTATATACTACTGCTAAACCTGCTAAATAACTTACACCATGAGATGAATACAATATTTTACAGTTTCACATCTAAAGTGGGTTTCTTTAGAATGCAGCATCGTACAACTTTCAAAATAAATATATCTTTAAATAGCATTACAATTAAGGCACAATATAGCTCACATAGAATTAACCTTTGAAGAATTGCAGTCTCAACAAGTAGCCGCATGAAAGAGACCTATGTTTTGCAAATAAATATTTAAATAGGAATTAATTTGTATACAAATCATTGCAAAAAGCATTCCCTAGTACAGTTCTTAAATATTTAAATTCAGCACATTTCTTCCTGCCTTTATTCGCAAGCCATGAATAGATACAGTAAATAAAAAGAGAAAGCTGTTGTAATAGAGAGCTGATCCTATTTCAGAATCAGAATAGCTGACACCAGCAGTCAAAATTTCCTAAAAGTGAAACAGGATGGGGAGAGGGATTAGAACGTGACAAGCTCATCAAATGAGAACAAGTGATGTGTTCTTTCCAGAATGGGCTATGTCATTGATTGTCTGTACAGCTGTTACACCCTTTAATTCCACACCACTTGCTCCATAGTCCCATTCATAGAGGGGACAGATGAGAAAATAACTTTGGTACTGTCTACCCTTCCCCCACCTCCCGAGCCATATTTCTTAGTTTGTTCGATGCCCACTATGAGATCGTCAAAAAAAGGTTTTTTTCCTACTTATTCACACAAAATAGGCCATACTGAAAAGTTGCAATGACAGTCAGTGCTTTCAATATTTAAGTAATAGTAATCTTCAACTTGATGCATGTTACATATTGCTCACGTGAACTTTTTACCCCGGCTACTGTAAAATGTACCTAATTTTTAAAAATCAGCTTTTTTTGGTTACTTTGGTTATGCTTTCGTGATAGGATGATGCTTGATACTTAGAAACTCTTACAAAAGCTATCCCACAATATTATTCATTCTATGGGAGGCATAATGTTTAAAGACAGTGGTATTTGTTCTTATAATATTCTATTGCATTGTAGCGTCTTTAAAGCTGGATTACTTAAAAGTTAATTGCCTCTTTTAAAACTATTTCTACTGGAAGGCTCGAAGGTAAAACGATAGGAATAACAACAAAGAATGCTTTCTCGCCAGGTCCATCTGCTATTGCATACGATCTGTTTGCAGTTGCTGTGGCTGGTATTGGCCGAAAGCAGCAGCTGCTGCTGCAGCTGTCCCAGGTGCTGCTGCAGTGATAGGCTGCTGGACTGCATAGCCATATCCCCCAGTAGTGACATATCCTGCAGCAGCTGGGGAAGCTGCATAGGGATACTGGTCATAGGCGGCAGCGGCGGCGGCGGCAGCGGCGGCCGAATACTGAGCATATGCAGCTCCAGTGTAGTCAAGGTAGGGTGTGGTGGAAGCAGCAGCTGTAGGCTGGACATGTGGAATAACTACTCCAGGTTGCACAAAAGCCTGCGGGTATACATAGTGAGCAGGGATCCTGTTGAAAAACAGAAGACAAAGTCAGGCCGCACTAGGAAACCTTACTCCCCAATTCAGAACTAAAAACCAAACTCAAATTTAGTTGTTGTTATATGCATAGGGTTGCCACAATAACTAATTTCAGTGGACAAATTGATCGTCTTAGAAGCTAAAAAGGAGAGACGTTGATGAAAAATACATCTTTTTAAAAAAATAGCATCACAGTGTTAGCGCTGACTTAACAACACTGATCAGAATTGGTATAAAGGCACACCACTAATAATTTTAAAATACTGGTAACAATCTTAAAATGTAAATCTGTTAAAAGAAAAATTAAAGAATCCTGGTTCAGAGCTGGAGGACACAGGATGTAAAGCCACAGAGATGTGACTAGTTTCCCCCTAAGACTTGTAATATACTGAGAGTTTATATGATTCTTACCTCAGAATATATTTACAATTTTTGTAACTACATTACATATTTAGCCTGATGATCCAATACTGATGGTTTCCCAGGACTTCTGCTTATTTGAATGCATTACCCACATTATTCAAATGTATTTGATGTAGGGTAATAAATGTTTTGTATCGTGGCAACCCTACTTGAATTGCTATGCACACATTAATTCCTCTGCAACTTCAGTCATCCTTATTAAAAAATAATTAAAAAAAAAAAAAAACCACAGGCGACAAAGGAGTTTAAATAGAAGTTCACAGGTGTGGTAAACACAGCAAGAATCACACTTGTCAAACGAACTATAGTGCAATTCACTCCGTCACAAAAGGCTATTGAGGGGAAGCTACATAGATGCCATTAAAATACATGACAGTGACCTCTGGGTAGATGTGCATCACACTTCTGAAGAGGTTATAAGGCCATGAAAGTCAAACCTGTTATGACATATCAGGCCACTGGAATCCTGCTTTGTGCCAGCTTGTTTATTTCTATATAAGGCATAACTTTGGAAGGAATAGGGAGAGCTGGGGCAGAATTATGTTCAGGTAGATCTAGTGTTTAATAAAAAAAAAAAAAAAGGAGAAACATATTTTGAGGAACAACCCTGCTGTTATTAAATACATATTTCAATATTCTCCTTACCATTAAATATTACTTTTGTACCATTAGAAGCACAAACAGGCCAATGTTGATATTTGTAGTAAAGCTCTCGTATATAGAGATACAATACTTTTGTGGTGTTTTCAGCACCCAAAAGCTTCATGTATTATCTCAGGATTACTTACAAACAGCTTGGCAATGGAGATCATGGTTATTATACATAGAAGGATGAAGCTGAAAAATAATGGTTTGCCTAAAAACCTCCAAAGAAATCTGCATGGCTTAAAATAAGATCTGAAACATGAGCTTCTCAGCTCACAGACTTGTTGCTAGAGCTGTACAAGTTGCCAAGTTCCTCACCTGTATAAAAATATGTGTATGGATTGATCTCTTATATCATACAATATAAGATGTATAAGATGTATCATATAATATCCAAAGTCTTATTTCCTTTGAAATTAACAATCTCCTTCAAAGCTCTAACCTGCAGCTAAAACTTCATTGGGAATCAAATCCTCTCTCCTGTATAAAGTGCAATTCTGGTGAGATCCAGCGTACACGCGCATACACATAGCTTCAGATGCAGAATAAAAGCTTTCAGCTCCACATGCAATGTTGTAAGTTTCCTTTCTGTCTGTTGCACAGGTTAGGTCCACCTGATCATCCTATTATAACCAAATTAATACAAATGTGTTTAAATAAAAATTATTTTCAACTTTCATATGAAGTTGCCAAGCAAAAAACTGTTTTTAGTTATACAATATTGTTGCTTTGGAAAGTAATTTTTTGGACTTAAAACCCATACAGCTTTGTTTAGAAACAAATCACTCCCCCTTCAATACCTACAATTCAATATTAAGAATCTAACTAAAAAATATTTACATCATTAGTCTCCCACTGTCCAGGACAGGGAAACAGCAATACATTAGGGATGCATACAAGAAGAGGTTTGAACAGAATAATGAAAATTAATAATTAAGGACTTTTTAAAAAAATACAGCGATGATGATTCATCCCTTCTATGGAGTATACTGTAAAAAAATGTCTGTGTATTAAAGCCAAGTTAATAACTGTTTTTATATTGTTTTAAACTAACAAAAAACCCTACATAATTTGATCATAATGCTCACTTGAAAATAGATAATTCCCAAGGATCATTTCTATCAGACTTAAAAAAGAAGATCTTTAAAAGACACATGCAGGTCACTTCATCATAGTTAAGTCATAGCTCTGTTCTGACAAGCATCATCATCATGGATTTTAAAACTTGTTTCCTTGTTAGAAAATCATGATGCATATATGTATTCAAGCTCTTGTAATTTATTTCTATTAAGCCAAGAAGCTAACAGGTGGGAGAATTATGAAACTTTATCCCTTTAGAACTTCTCGGTCTACAATATGCATGCACTCTGTGCAGGCGCTCACTATTATGCCATTTTGCACACTGTGATTGACAGCACAGGCTGCAGTGGGTCTATTTTTGATCATCTGTCATGCGACAAGAGCTTCCAGCTGAGTAAAATATATGACTTTATAAGGCCAAAGTAAACTTCCATCTGTTGGAAACGCCAGCATGCAGAGATTGTCATGATACTGAAATGCTAGCTCCTTTTATGTTCAAAAAGGTCAAAAGGTTAAAGAGCAGCTTCCCATTAGGCTGTTCAGGCATCTTTGTACAATAGATTGAGGAATGTTCTTCTGAACTTACTTTTGGGAGAAACACTGGATCTGCACCCTGTTCCAGATTTTTCAAAGGTAGTTTTCTTTGGTACATTAGAAATAGGCATTGAAACTCATCAGTTTTTCTCTAAGATTGCAATAAAAATACATTTTCATGCAAGTAAGCCTACTGAACACAGAGCCTTTCCTCACTTGCATCTAACAATACCAAAAACATTTTCTAATACTTTTTTTTTTTTTTTTTGGTGCTGTGTCCTCATGACATTACATTTGATCCCCAACACATAACTGAGGAGGCCTTAATTCATCCTTAGATGTACTGGAATTAAAACAGTATTTTCCCTCATATCCTAAAAAGATTTATCACAGATACCGTCTCATGCATTTCACTGACCAAAGTGACCTCAGAGGGTGGGATAAGTTCACCATCTATTAGCAATTGGGGCTGGTATGGCCATGCCGCTCTCCCTCCAATCTTTGGATACTGTCTTCTAGGGCCATTTTGCTCTAGACAGTGGGAGAATCCAGTTCTTTCAAACGGGGTCTTCCTGGATCAGAATCCTGGATTAGTCTGAACAAGAGTTGACCAGCAGCAGTGGTGGAGCAGCTGCATGGGGGCAACAGAGAGCTGCCTTTTTCTCTCTCTGCTTCTTTTCTCACACCTGTTAGCTGTAGTTCAGGCTGCTTTTGAATGTGGGTTTAGTGCTCTTTGAAATAGTGCTCAAACTACGTCCTCTAGGAGTCCAACTGTCAGTCCAATATGGGTTTAGAAGTATTCTGGAATAGCGCTATTCTGGAAGAATGCTAAACCTATGTCCAAAAGGAGCCTAGCAGCCAATAGTCAGGCTCACTTTTTTCACTTGTAGAGCAGATATGCAAAGACAGTGAGCTTTGATAGATTGCTAAACATGTCCATCTAGCCTTTGTCAAAACTTGCTACCTCCTCAGGCCCTTCCCCATTCCTATCTACAGTAAGGAGAGTAATTAATGGACATTTTCATGCCAACTAGTGACATGGTGGGAGGAAAGCAAAGCTGGAGGATCCATCAACCCTTTACATAATTTCTGTACCATACACATGGATAGAATCAGTTTCCAGCTTTGTGTCTGTATCAGGATGAGGACTGTCAGTGGGGGCATCATATTTTATGCCAGTATAATTTTGGGCTGGTTCAAGGACTGGTAAGTAGTACTTTGAAGTTAGCCATTAAAAAAAACCCTTAGTGGATCTTACTTTTGAGAAAACATGCATACCACAGATTGCCCCTGTAAAATCTGAAGTCAGACTCATTCCTTTCAAAATAATTCATTTTTACATATGTGTTGAACTCCAGTTATGTAACTGCATCCTATGCATTTTCATTCAGAATCAACCCCTACTGAATTCAGTGATTAATTTATATTGATCTAAGTATTTTTGTGTGTGTGAATGCCATCACAAAGTTAATAATTTTGGCTAACTTATAATAGACTAAATGTTGTACTGGGGAAAGTATTTCCATGGTAGCTGCAGTGGAATCAGAATATTTATGTGGCAAGAGATTTCTGGTAAATTATAGACAGTCATGTATAAAAGCACCAACATCACAGTAAGCCAAGCTTTACTGTGATGAGAATGACCTGGCGTCTTTCCAGGTCTTTGGACTTCCCCTCTTGAATTCTGACAGGGAATAAGGAGATTTTTGGAAACATTCACTTCTAGTATTTTTTTAATTAATTGCAGCTCATTACAGTGTATAAACCTAAAATGAGTTTGCATTGATGAAAACACTTTTACAGTTCTGACCTGGTTTCACATGAGTGAAGTTCAGTAATTCTTTCATAAAAATCTAGACCTCATCAGTTAAGACTATAACAACATTTAAAGGATAGTATACTTCTACTTAATTTAAAAGCAAGGGAATTTTATCAATATTATATCATACTCTTACATTAACCGTAACAAGTTCTCTTCGAAGACTTTAAAGATTCTGGGATAATTTAGGATCTGAACTTGATAAAATTTACTGGAACTCACTATAGCGTGTAATTCCTTGAAATCTATTACGGTAAATAATCAAAATGTACCAAGAATATAATCTCTAAATAGAACTGGCAGAAAGTAAAGACCAGTGTCTGAGTAAAAGATATTGGAGTGAATTTTTTTTTTTTTTTGCCTAGCCTTTGGATTGGTGTTCCCCCGGCTCTGAAAAAGAAAACTGTGAAAAAGATTTGGTTTTGTCCTGATGGAGGACTTACATTGGAAGATAGACAAAGATAGAGTGATTCCATTAAGCATAAAATCACTGAACTTCATTTGCTTGGAGCCTGCTTGAATGACCAATTCTGTGAATTCCACTGGGAGACTACAAAGTCCCACAGAGTTTCAGAGTTAGAGATTATTACCTCTGGTTTTATTATTTTATTTTGATGATAGTTAGATGACATTTTGATTTGCTGTGAGCTGCTGAGAGTCTTATAATGTGGGCAGCGTATAAATAATGTAAAATAAAGTCAAGTAGCAAGCACGCTATCTCTGACTGACTCATTCAGTGAACAAATCTGAGTCCTTCTCTCCCTGTGTGTTCCTCCAAATGAACCTGCTTAATTCTAGCAATGTGTGAGACACAAAAAGCAGAGCAGCCGTCTCCCAGGCACTCTTATAGACAACACTCTGATGTGAGCCTATCGTACCAGTCAGCCCCCTTCCCTTGCTTGTCCATACCTTACATGAAAAGAAGCTCAACAAAGCAGAAAGCCTATCAGATCTGTTGAACTCAATCACGTAGTCACAATCATGCCACCGTACTACTTTAGGTTGAGCAACCATCGGTCCACTGGAAATCTAGGACGGCTGCAGGAGCAGCCCCAAATTGTTGCTGCAGTGCTATCTCTGCTGCTCTGGTTTGTTTTCCATCCCTTCAGGGCTGGCAGGAAGTTATTTTGGGAAACAAAGAAAGTGGGGGAGGAATTACACTTCTCCCATCCTGCTTTCAGTGGATCTGATCCCATTCAGGGTACAGGATGTCTGCATTTGGAGTTTTTGTTTCTACAAAAATGTAAAAAAAAAAATCCAGAGCTGACCAGCCTCTGCAAAGGTAGCTAGGAGAACGACTGGTGAGGGAAGAAGAAATGCAAACTGTTTACCTCATCATTGGCCATGTAATCTGAGATGCCCACTGTGCATAATTTTCTTACTGTTTATAAACACAGTTTAGTGTTTATTGAGTTAATGCAGCCAACCTCATTGTTATCATGACTACAGCCAAACCATCATGTAGTCATGATTTTGGGAGGGGGTGGGGAAAAAAAAGTTGACCCATCAAGATGTAGGCTTACTTCAATGAAGTTAACATTAATGCAGATTCATATAGTTTAAAGTATTATTTTTGTCACAATGAAACCATGTTTTTTTATAACATTCAAATGTAGGCATTAAATGAAGAAAGCAGAAAGAGAAAAGAAAGCCACTGGATAAAAAGAATTCACATTGAATTAAAAAATAATTTCAGTGTTGCTAGTAAAGGTATTATAGATTTTCTATTTTAAAAAATCAATTTAAAACCTGGGTAAAGGATGAATTATTTTTAAAAACAAAATAATTCTAAAACACAATAGCTATCCTTTATTTCAGTTTTTGATTAAACTAGCATTTCTAGACACACCACAGAGGGGTGAGGGAGGCTTTGTACAGCCCTTACTATATTCAAGTAAACCCAACAGAACATTATCTGGAGCAATTACAATTGCACATATATTCCAAGAAATAATAAAAGTTTGAGCAAATAAAGATACCAGCTTTATATGTTTAAAAGGTCCTAGAATAGAATGGGATTGTTTTTAATGATGAATCAGCAAGATAAAACTGGATAAAGACTTTATAAATACACAGCTAGCACCAACAATTATGACAAGAACAATGGATTGTAGGAAATATGTGCAAAATAGGGCCACTATATCCAATCTGCAATGATCTTGGTGAGTATTAGGTGGCAGCAAAGCATTAGGGTTTTTGTATTTCTTTGCTGCCATCTAATGATCATCTGGAATTTTGCAACTAAGATCCCTCCTCTTATCAGAAAAAGGTATTGTACCAAGATCCATCATTATCTCTGCATATTGTAATACAATCTAGACAGCAAATGTTTTGAAATGTTCTCTGAAGAAAAACAATCTCTGAACTACTCATTATATCATATATCTTTACTCAGATCCACCTCATCCTATAAAATTTTATAATAATAAATTATTTTTTGAATTATTATACTATAATAATAGTGCTTTGGCGCAAACAACTTTGTGCTAGATTAAATGCAATCTGACAATTCTTTCAGAGCATAGCAACATTAGTTGGTATGCAAAAACTTTCTGAGGCCAAGTATCACCATGCCATTCAATTCAATGGAGAAATGGTTCTAGAAATATGAAATCATATACTCTGTATCTGACACTTCCTCATCCTCTTTACTGGCTAAGCACACAATAAGTATTCAAGGATGCTGACTATGACACCACTGTTGTATTATCTATGCCACTAAATCAATGTAAGCATTTGTAACATCTGCATACTAGATAAACAAACTGATTTTTTAGTGCATAAATGGACAAAAACAGAAGACTTCATCTTATCTTACATAAGTTTATGGACTGCAGTTTAACTGAAGTATCACTTTGAGGTATTTTATTTATTTACTTATTTACCGGGGGGAGCAATTCCCATTAAATTTAGAGGACTTAACTTCTGATACAGAAGTACGCAACTGTGTTACTACAGTAGTTTCTTTGACTAAGTAGTTTTAGCTCTTTCATCTCCATGGATGTATGCCAAACTATACTTGTTGAAATTCTGTCTTTTACAAAACACTGGCTTTTTGCATGTGGTTATCCTTCTCAATAGACTGGCTAAGTGCCAAACCACATTGCAGCTACAGGACAGAGGAATTAATCTTTCCTTTCCAGAATGAATGGTCCTCCTGAAGCTGCAATTTCACAATAATAGCAAGTGGCAGGAGACCAGTGTGGGAGAAAAAAACTTTTTTGCACACTTCACTCCTGGTTGTGTGTGTATGGGGGTGTCTTCTCTAGTTGTAAAGAAAAAATAAAGAGTCTTGTGACACCTGTCAGAATAGTAGAAAATACTTTTCTTCTCACTCTCTTTATCTATTTAGATAAAATTAGTTGTTTTATCTGAATTGTATTTAGATAAATATTTGATTTGGAATACTAACAGCCTTTAAGGAATTAGGCAGATGTTTATTTTGATGAATAGCTAAAACATGTTAAAAGTTTTGCACTTAGGAGGAATGAAAAAGTCAATTTAAGACATGGCTAGGCTATGAAATTTTTGAAAAATCGTAATTTTGGAAGCGAAACCTTTGTGCATTCCTAACAGATTTGTTTATGTGGCTTATTTGTTTTCAAGAAGAAAAACAGACATAAATTTAAAAAAATAGAGCATGTATGGGAATAGATCTATTTCGCTTTGCATCCCCGAGACCTTATATTACTCACCACCACCCCCGCCTCCCCATATATGCAGTTAGCTTTTCTGTTAATACCAGACAGATTTAATACTTCTACATCTTTACTTCCTGTAGGTGGTAGCTGGGGAAATCAAAACATTTTTAAAAAATCAAGAAAAGAACATGTAATTGCAAGCAATCAACTGGATCCAGAGCTGCATCAAGTGGAACTCCAGAAACTATATGATCCTATGGATGAAAGGGTAGCAAATTTTGCCAATTCTACCTTCCCCAACAGTCTCTATTGTTCCACTCCCCAAACCTGTAAATATGTCAGATTTATTTGGGGAAATTGAATTGGTGAAAATTGCTATCCAGAAGGGTGCAACATTTTGCACTTCTCTAATTCTCTCTCTCCTTTCTCTAAGAGGGGAGCCCATTATAGTCCAGGTCCTTATCATCAAAGAAACAGCTCCTCTGTTTGTAGGGGTTGAATTTACAGATCACACCAAATCATAATGTAGTTCATTATAAATGAACCCAACAATTGTGGTTTGTAAACCATATTTTATGACTTTGATTAAAATGTGGTTGGCTAGTTTGTGGCTCAATGTGCTGGGCAAACACAGTAATATGTAAATCCAGATATTGTCTTTTTCGGTCTTCAGGGGCTAAATACAACTATTGCTGCTAGTGTTTCATTGTAACAAGATACAATATTTCAAAACTATTCTCCAGTTTCACCATGAGTTTTACTTAGCAAGGATTAGCAAGGAGAAAAGAGCGCAAAGAGAGTTCAAGCAAGCAGAGTTCCTTTTCTACTTTTATATCTAACTGTTGAATTTAAAAAGAAACAGAATTATGTTAAGAGTAGCATATCTTTAAAGAAATACTGTAAGTTAAAGCTGATGAAGACAAAATCATTAATGGGATAGTGCAAGTGGACGCATGTTGTTAATAACACAGGGCTCCACATCCTTCCCAAGGAACAAAACAAAAAATGTAACATGCAAGCAATGTTGATCTTTCTTTTTTTAAAAAAAAGAAATTAAAAAAGGTATCACACAAATTTAGCAGTCACTACAAAATATGGTTAAAAAGAAGATAAATAAGCCGCAGGCTACAGCTTGAAAGCAAGAGGGAAAAAGAGGTTCCTTTGCTCCCCTTTGCAAAGTCAACACTTCTCAACAAAACCAAAATGAAAAAGCCACCAAAAACTTTCACTACAGCTCTTTCAATTAAATAAAAGCACACAGTTTAGCTATCAACACCACTTCATTACTGTAATCAATAAATAAAAAAAAACCACACTGATATCTATGGACTATAGAAAGAAAACATACATGCATCGTTAATCACCATTTTAGCTTGTTTGTGTGTTTGAGTCTACTGGTTACAGAGTTTAATTCCAAACAGAACTATTCCACCTCATATCCTTCTCATCAGTTATCTTAACTGTAAACGATCCCTGTCAGATTAGAAAGAGATAAATAACATTGAGTTTAGCTGAAGAAAAATATTGATGGGGGCACACTGGCGTGCTGATTACAAGCGGACCTGGTTTCCCCACAGCATCTTATCAGCCAGGACTGCTTCAGTGCAGGGGTGCTAGAGACATCATCCCCTCAGCTTTAACGCTTATTGGAGAATCATTACGGAAGTGAGGGCATTTTAAATCTGCAAATTTGAAAAAAAAAAGTAATAATTTTATTGCCAGCAGTCACATTACAGGACATTAACATGTACACATTATCTGTTTCCCACCGCAAAAAGCAGGTTTAGAGGAGACTTACCCAAAGGGTCTCTGGATTAAGGCAGGATGGAGCTGTTGAACCCCAAAGGCAAAACCTATCAACAAAACACAGCACATTCTCTATACAGGTGCTCTTTCTGTTGCATTATTACTTCACGTTGGGCAATCTTTTACCTCTCTACAGACAATTAAGGTCCATTAAATTAAACGAGACTTACTTCCAGGTCAATAACCGAAGCATTGCAGAATTATAGCCTCTAACAAATACTATCCTGGGATCATTCTTAATGGAGAGCATATATAAGGCAGCTAAAATGTCACTTACCTTTCATGGAAAATGCATTAAATATAAATGAATTTTGTTTCATTTAATAAATAAATAATTCTGATTTTCAAGGCATAGAGGCCTGAAAATAATGTCTATATTATTTAATTGCTTCTCATATTAAAAAGTACATGATTGAACATGGTCTGAAATTTATTAATATGGCTGGTATATACAACAGAGTGTAAAATAGTAACTAGGCTTTGCATACTTTGAAAATAATTTGGAAGAATTACTTTCTAGCTTGTGTGAGCACAACCTCTCTACTATTCACTTAAACACACACCTTTTTTTCATGTATCCACCAGAACCTGAAAAAAAGAGGCTGCAACTAGTCACCTCATTAAAGTTAATACAACTCTTAAAGCAACCACTACTTTTTTGGAAGCTCACATATAAAAAAGCCTGAAAAAAACCAGGCTGCTTTACCAAATAGCAGAAATGTGCTGTGCTTCCTCTGAATCATTTTTGAAGTATGCACAGCCCTAATAGTAATCTTTTATTTCAATACATTAATAATATTATACCTCAGGATAAAGGGCTGTTATTTCTCATAAATCATTATAGCTTGGGGCAGATGTAATGTTCACAGTCTCCTAACCTTGACTGCCATACTTCAGATTATGTTTTTGTACAATTTTTGCTGTCTTTTATGGATTGCTTTAAATATGGCATAGGACAGAAGTTGGCAATTTTTTCAGGTGCCTGGCAGCACTGGCCACTCTTGTACATTAGCCTGCCTCCCCCCAAACCTTTCCTTTAACTGCCTGAAATCTCACGAGCTTGCAGCAGCCATGTGTGAAATGTCACAAAATCTTATGCCAGAATTCAGAATCTTTTAAAATGGGTGCATCGATGCTGTCTCAGGCTGTTGTCCATAACTGATATTTATGATTCCTGTATTACTGGAAGTTAGAGTTGCATTGGCATGATCTTTGGCGTCTTTTTATAACTAGAAGAAGTTTTGCAAAAAAAAAAAAACCCTGATTACACATGGATTAGATTATCATGTGTTAAGCTGGTTAGTTCTCAATGATGAAGAGGCAATGCCACATCATTGTTAAAACTAATGATGGAAAGACAGAAGAAAGAGAGGAATGTTCATGTTCCCAATCTCTTAGCTGGGGTTAGGAGATGAAGAACTTTATCTGCACCAAACTGGTCTGATCCTAGTTTGTTTCAACAAACCATTAACTAAACCAGAAGTAGATAACTTTTTTCAAGCTAAGGCTGTATTTTGCATTTGAATGATGTGCTCCAAAGCTGGGTGTAGATCAGGATAAAAAGCAAATTTGAATTAATGTCTTTTGCATTTATTTAAATGTATTATACTGCAGTTAATTATTCCTTCCATTTAGGTAATTCTGTCACACAAAAAAAGTAAGATTTGGTAATTCAAACACCATGCCAAATCATAGTCTGTACAAACCATGGCTTGCAAATGCATATCAAATGAATGCGTTTTAACCCTGGTTTAGCAATTAATGGTATCAATTTAGACATTACTCCAAATTGTAATGATAATTGCTTAAGCTGTCTGAAATGACCAGCATACCAGTAAGGCAAAGAAACAAACAATGGGTTGGTATGATATCTGAACTGAATCAGCATCTAAAAGCTGATACACATACAATACTGTACTATACATTCCCATAATGGTTGAAGAGCACTTCCTAGTTTAGAACTTAAAGACAAAATAACTGACAACATATTTTTGAATCTTCATTAGTTTTAGTATTCACAATAAAAGTCTTTCTCTAACTTTGCATTCTTGTTGGCCCATCTTGTGAATGCATTCATCCTAAATGATTTCTTGACAACTCAATAATATATTTGTAATATAAATCTATGATTTAAAGGATTAACTAATGCAATAGAATGATTAAACATTACATGATTAAACATGTAATTTTCTAAGAATGTGGGGATATCTTTATCCTTTCAATGGAAGAGGTCCTCACTGACAGGCTTGGTGAATTAAAGAGAACATACAGTTGACTTTCTATTAAAATGTCTGTAGCCACTGAATTTTAGTGATAATTTGTTCATTTTCCTGAAAGTACCCTAAACTCCAGTATTTAATTTCTAACTGTTAATTTGGGTTTATATGTATATATGTGGGGAGAGGTTGACCATAGTTACTCCTAGTTACTCAGTGATGAACAGAAAGCATGTTGAACTTGTTCAGAGGCTGACTTTGGTATTGAAAAAGACTCCAAAACTAAGTTGTAGCTAGCCTGGCTAAACAACAAAGAACATATTAGTTCAGGAATACAATCAGACCAAATAATAAATAAATAAACAAACAAACGAAGTTAGTCAGTAAGTTAGAGTTTGGCAACACAGAAACTACACACACTAGTGGTGTCTGTGGCTCTGCAAATTAATTTAAAACATACTAATCAAAAATGGTTGCAATTGTGCAAATGATCTCACAAAATTTGATGGTTTTCTGTTCTTTTGTAGGTGCCTGTGACATAGTACAATGTCACATATGGTGCCAGAATAAGTCGCTATTATTGTAAATGCAAAATAGGACAGGTCTCACAAGAAACTGGAAGCCATTCCATGTTTCATTTTAGCTTATAATAGACTGGAAAGACTGGCAGCAACTTATTTTAGATGGTTGTTAGAAATCAAAAGTTGCTGTCAACTGTTGTACCAGAAATATTAAATCCAATATTAAAATAAAATATATATTCTGAGTCACATACAACAGAATGATTCTCCAATTAATTACTCTTCAATTAACAATTAGTCCAATTAGATTCTCCAATTAAAAGGGAACATCTAATGTAACTGACTCACTAAAAAAAAGAAGAAAGTTGAATATTTTGAAAGAGCTCCAACATACATTAATCTCTCCCTATATATCTACAATTTACATATACTGAGACCATAATCCTATGTGTATTATTTAAGGGCATGACCTACAGAAATCAGTAGGTTTTGCACGAGACTGTGATGTAATTTTCTACATTTTCAAGGCAGTGCTTTCTGAACTCCCACCTTCTGTTTCCTAGACTTCTACCAATCATCTATTTAGAAAAGGATTGTGCAATGACCTCTTTACACAGCTAGAACTATATTTGTAGTTGTGCACATTCTACACTTGTGCACAAAGGGTTTCTAAGACAAGACAAAGGGACAGTGCTTTTTTAAAGAAGGAATGTTTCCTGGCTGTTTCTTTGCCCATTTGTTCTACAGAGAGCAGGTAGATATCTGGGAATGAGTAACTTAAACCACTGTACATCTTCTGCTCCAAATGTCTTATGTCAACTCTAAGAAGCTCTGCCCCACATTCTGCAACCCTTTATTCAGGACAGTAAAAGCTCTTTGACATAATTTTTACATTTGAATCAGTAATACCGAGTTCTGTATTGCACTGACACAAGATATCTTCAACATGAATTGGACATTATTAAAATCACAGAACTAGGTGATAAGATGTGCTTTAGAACTGTGTTTTTTGAGATCTGCAAACTACTCATTCTAAAATTAGAAGATAATAATCTCAGTTCAGGTCAAATAAGCAAAAACTACTTACCTGGCTGCATAATTCTTGGTTTTGCTCCTAGGTATGCAAGATTCACATTAGCTTTTCTGCCATCAATGATTGGATTAGGATCTTTGCAGGCCCTTTCAGCAGCAGCTCGATCAGCCATTGTCACCTTGATAATAAACAGCAAATATATCAAAACTGTTGCCTTTGACACAGTTCAAAATGGTTACCTGCACTCATATACTTCCAGACATAGTAAAACTTTCTGATAGGCTACTTCAGATTAGGATGATTGTGGACCCCCTTTTTGTTTTGGTTTGTTCTGATCTTGTTTGGTTTGGTTTTGGTATTTTGCTTTTCCAGCTGGTTGCATTCTTTTACATGTTGGTTTTTTTAGTTGTAAGCTGCCTACAAGTGTTTAGGAGTCGGGTGGCCTTTCAACAAATAAAAACAAACTCTCCTCACCCAAATGAAAATACAACTAGGCAGTATCTTTCAGTGTCAGCCTTTTGGGGTGGGGGGTTCAAATTAATACAATAAACACATTAAAAAAAAATCCAGTTCTATTTGAAG